GTGACGCAGTGCGGAGGTCAGTAATGTGACGCAGTGCGGAGGTCAGTAATGTGACGCAGTGCGGAGGTCAGTAATGTGACGCAGTGCGGAGGTCAGTAATGTGACGCAGTGCGGAGGTCAAAATACATTTGTGTATTTAATTTTAAATAAATGACGGTTGTTAATTTTTTAAATTTGTGTCCAATTAATCATAAAATAATCGGTCAACTAATTGATTGGCCAACTAATCGTTATGAAAATAATCATTAGTTGCAGCCCTAATATGCTGACATGCATACTTTCACAGTCACACTATACTACTAATTATATCTGTCACTGGTAGAACTCATTAGCAGTGCCTATTTCTGAATTACAAAGATGAAATGTACTCAAGTGGGCAAAGCAATACAAACAGCAATTTGGAAGTGCAGTAAATCATGTCATCCAAATAAGCTTAATTGTACTGCAGTTAGTTCAGTAAGATAATTTCTGATTTGTTTCTATGGGTTACTGTTCTTTCATAAAGCATCACAAGCAACTAATGCGTCTATGAAACAAAACCAAAAAGCAAGTACGATACCTACCTCACTGCTTCTCGTACCATTGTATAACAGGAAGGACTTACCTGAGATGTGAAAAAGTTCAGCTCATTTTCAATGTTCTGATAAATATAGTCCTCTTCACAGGAAAAAGCACGGGTTCCACCCCCAAACTCTGCTTTCAAAGATTTACGTAGCCCAATCTCCTCTGCACCGCGGAGCAAACTGCAAAGGGTAAAAGGATGAAAAAAAAGAAAAAAGAACATTTATCAAGGCAGTACTATGGAGAAACATATGTACATATACATTCCCATCAGTGTTACAAAGAAATCATTCATCAAACTCAAATAAAGAGGAATGGAGACATAGGAAAGAGAAATGTATGTTGTACTGGGACTGGTGTGGTCGGTATACAGGTGGATAGTGTTAAACTGTGGGAGGTTTGTACTGGAGAAAAGGAAAGTACAAAGCCTACAACAAAAAAAGCAACCATCTAATTTACCAAGCTTCTATTTGCAAATAAAGTTTGCCCATCAAACTGCCTTCCAAATCAACCTACTATGGCAGATGTTACATAGAACCAGCATCAATCCCACACTAACAAACTTTACACATACGAACAGGATTTATAATAAAGAAGAACAATAGAAAAAGCTAATAATATCTAATCTATCCCCCTCAATAAATGTCATTGCCATTTCAAAGACCTTCCTGTCTTACTATTTTGGGGTCCACATGGCTCTAATAGTCATGGGGATACAGACAAAATTAAACAAGTCACTACAGGCAGGCTGGAGTCAACACAAAAATGGATAAACTCTGCACCCCTAGGCTCCTTATGGACATGAATGCACCCTCCAGCCACTACAAGGTGCTCTGCATACAGAAAGCACAAGATCTGCAGCACCACTAAGAAAATACAATGTAATGGAGATTCTGTGGTTGGTAGAACGAAGGTAACCCCTTTCCTTCATTTCCACACATAGAAGTCATGACTCATTTCCCAGCAACTAATTCTGGTTTTTCATGTTTAACAGGGGACTTTATTCATATAATGCTGACCTGGGCAGAGCGATAAAAACATTTTACTTGGAATACATTTTTTACAGCCTGTTCATGCAAATGTATATGGCATTAGATATGGCATTTCTGACTGTAGCCGTGTTTCTTAAAGAAGAACTCCAGGAAAACTTTTAACCCTTGCAGTGGGGCAAAGAAAGGAAAAAAATTAACGTGGCTATAATTCCTTTTTAAAGTGGAACTAATAAACTTACACGTTTTTGGGCCCCTAAGAGCTTTTGTCAAAATGTGGAAGTATGCTCAGCATATTTGCATAATTTGGGCCCACTTAATTTGCAACGTGACCTTCTCTAGCTATGCAAAAGATGCAACCTCCCTCGTTGATTGTATTTTCGCCTGGTCTTCTTCCAGGTTTGGAGTCTTTGGTGGTCTTGATTGGCCAGACTGGGACAACATAACTCAAGCATATGCGCATGGCAGCTACTTCCTCCCAGTCATGTCAAGTCTGCATACTGAGGTGCATGTGCATGGCTCAATGTACACTTTAGCCCTGGTTCACACCTAGGCGTATTGCATATGCGCATCTGTCGCGATTCGCTGTAAAAAAATCACGCGACAAACGCACGTTTCCGAGGGCTACTTGGCTGTATCCCAATGGAAACGCGCTAAAAAAACGGCCCAAAGTAGTACCTGTACCTTTTCAGGCGTGGGCCATTTGTAGCGCATTAGGGACGGGCTGAAATACGCCAAGGTGTGTCAAGGTAACTTTGCATTTTAGAATACTGTACATCCACTAGAGTTTTGCTTTAAAATCTTTCTTTTGTATTCCATCAGTGTTAGGAATGTATGCTGTGTGAATATGTTTGATGCCCATGTATACTTGGCTCAGTACACTTCAGAGAAGATGCAAAAGTATTCCAAAATCTAAACATACTATGTAAGCAGCGGAATCAAAGCCATTTTTTTACTGCAACAATTCAACTTAATGGAGTTTAAAAAAGAACTCCAGGGCAAAAATGATCGTAACACTTGCAGTAAAGCTACCCTGGCACTGTGAGGGTTAGGTGCTCGTTTTCATCTAGGAGTGAAAAATAACAAAGTTATATTCACAGCCGGCTGGCTGTTAGACAGGTCCATTCAGCCTCGCTTCACCACTGCTCCAGTGGTCTAAGGTCCTGTGAGTCATCACGTCCAGTAAAGTGTGTTGGATGTGAGGACGCCGAGGGAAATACCAGAGCTGGAGCAGGGGGGAGGAGACAGGTTCCAGGGACCAGTCTAACAACCAGCCGGCTGCGAGATTCAGGTAAGTATAACTTTATTATCACTCCTAGATGAAAATTAGCACTTAACCCTTGCAGTTCAGGGGTAGCTCCACTGCAAGGGTTAAGATAATGTTTCCCAGAGTTTTTCCTCAACACTAGGTACCTCCAAGAAAAACCTACTTTGTCATTCATCTTATTTATCTTGTTATTTTATCTTGTGGTTGTGGAGGCTTTTGTGCCCAGTACAAAATGTGAAATGCTGTATCCACATAAGTAATCTAAAAGGTAGTTATGTAAAAAAAAAAAAAGAAAAAACACAAACATGTTTCCTTCCCCACTGTAAAAGTTGTACACATACAGTGGCACAAAATATATTTATAATGCCATTTTATATAACACCTTGTTAGGTTGATGTATAAACGCAAACACAGGTAAGTTCCGACAGGTGCATGCTGGTTGCTGCTATTGTAATAAACTGGTCAAGAATTTTTTCAAGAAGGCGCTTCACAATTGTACTTCTCCGACTTAGTCTGCCTTGCCCTTACTAGAATGAAAAGCAGCATGTGCACAGCCCCTTTGAAGTACCGTATTTTTCCGTGTATAAGACGTTACTTTTTCATAAAAATGTTTACCTAAAAATAGAGGGGCGTCTTATACACGGGGGGTCGAAAGGAGAACCGCGGTTGCGAAACTGCCGATACCTCTGCAAACTAGCCTCACGAGTGAAACTTCGGATTGCAGGGACAAGATAAGTTTTCCTCCAATCATAAATCTTTTGTACCCGACGTCAGCTGTTGCTGGGGAGATTGGAGGAAAAAACGTATCTTGTCTCTGCAATCCGCTCTCCCCAGCAACAGCTGACGTCAGGTACAAAAGATTTATGATTGGAGGAAAACTGCTATCTTGTCTCTGTAATCCGATCATAAATCTTTTGTACCTGTCGTCAGCTGTCGCTGGGGAGAGCGTGTAGCCAGTGCCCAGAGCTGTAATGTCGGAGCATAATGTGATTGACTCAAAGGTAAGTGTGATGCATTATATCATTTAAAATATTGATTTCTGAATTTTGGGTAAGAAAAGTTGGGGGCTTTCAATACATGGGGGCTTCTTGTAGACTGAAAAATACGGTAGTTGTTTTTAACATTTCGCACTGTACAGTTTCTGCAGCGATGGTATGTCCCTCTTTGTTCTTTTCATTCTATACACTGTGTATAGAATGTGATGACTCAGGGACCTTAGACCGCTGCAGTGGGGGGGAGCAAGGCGGAAAGGAACAGTCTAAGAGCCAGCTGGCCCCAAGGATCGGGCGACTAACTTTTTTTTTTTATTTGGACACAAAAAACAAGCGGTTAACTCTTGCAGTATGGAAGTATCCCCACAGCAAGGGTTAATGATAACCCTTGCTGTGGGGATAATAACACCCCCCCCC